CTGTACCCGCGGGCTTTGCCCCGTTTAACTTCTTAATTTTCAAGATGATCTCGTTCGCATGGCTCAATCACGTCCTGGTTGAAGTTCGTTCGCTACGCTCACTCACCTTTAAGTTGGAGCTCGTTCGCTGCGCTCACTTGCCTTCAGGTTAGCTCGTTCGCTACGCTAACTCGTCTCCAGGTTGAAGTTCGTTCGCTACGCTCACTCACCTTTTGGTTGCAAATTAGCTGTTGTCATAAATTAAAATAAATAATAGTGCTGCACCCTGTTGGTAATCATTGTAACTTTAATGCAATTGAACATCATAGAACTGAACCAACTTGTTTAATTGAAACAGCTGTTAAGATTCATAAATTCCTTTTAAATATGAAAAATCATAAGGCTAACTACATGGGAAACTCCAGAGCCACTGGGGCGGAGCCCGAGAGTCCGATCAGAATAAAAACAACTTAGTTTTCCTATTTAATGCCTAAAGAATCAATGTACCAAATTTCAGCCTCCTAGGTAAATGGGAAGTGGGAGAATTAGTGATGAGTGTGTCAGTGAGTCAGTGAGGGCTTTGCCTTTTATAAGTATAGATGTATGTCCGTTAGCACGATAACTCGAGCAAAAATGATCCGATTTTGATTAAATTTGGTATAAACTTGTAAACCTACATTTATTCGAACGAGTTCACGAACCAGCATAATCGGGCCATGAGAACGGGAGTTTATGGGGGTTTTATTGGGTAAAAACTGGGTTTTCGAATTTTTTACCCTAAAACATAAAATTTGGCAATTTCTTTCCAAACCATTTTGAAGAGCTTAAAAAACAAATAATCTATATATATAAAAGGCAAAGCCCTCACTGACTGACTGACTGACTGACTGACTGACTGACTCACTCACTCACTCATCACTAATTCTCCCACTTCCCACTTACCTAAGAGGCTGAAATTTGGTACACTGATTCTTTAGGCATTAAATAGGAAAACTAAGTGGTTTTTATTCTGATCGGACTCTCGGGCTCCGCCCCAGTGGCTCTGGAGTTTCCCATGGTAACCTAATGAGTACTCATATTTAAATGGAATTAATGAATCATAACAGCTGTTTCAATTAAACAAGTTGGTTGTGTTCTATTATGTTCAATAGCATTAAAGTTACAAGGATTACCAACAGAGTGCAGCACTATTATTTTTTTAATATTTGACAACAGCTAATTTGAAACCAAAAGGTGAGTGAGCGTAGCGAACGAGCTAACCTGAAAGCAATTGAGCGCAGCGAACGAGCTCCAACCGTAAAGGTGAGTGAGCGTAGCGAACGAACTGCAACAAGACGTGTGAGCGCAGCGAACGAGCTCCAACCTAAAGGTGAGTGAGCGTAGCGAACGAACTTCAACCAGGACGTGATTGAGCCATGCGAACGAGCTCACATATGAAGTTAAACGGGGCAAAGCCCGCGGGTACAGCTAGTTTAGTATATTGAAGTGTTATTATGCGCCTAATGGATAAGGAGAAAATAAAAAAAAAATGTAAATTTAAAATTCCCATGTTATTCTTATGAAATTTAAACAGTTGTTGTTTGCTTGTTTATGAGCATATTTTAATCACATATGGAAAGTGCATTTATTTCATACTAAACTATTACATTTTCCCAAAAAATCTTTTTACCCTCCATGTTGCAGCAAACCTAGATTACTCGTTAAACTAAAGCTATTTAAAAAGGGAATAAATGTTATATTTTTAAGGAGACATTTTAGTGTAAATCCAATTAGGCGAATAGAAATTCGCTTAGTCTGCAGGTTTGCTGCGGTGGGGGTATTATAAAATGTACAAAGTAATGAATAAATAATGTAACGACTATATAGTAATTCATTGGGTAATTTTGATAGTAATAAGTAATACATAAAGTAATGTATGGATTATTTGTGCGTTTATTCAAGCAGAGCTGTTGGTCGCACAGAGAGCAATTTCAGAGCGGTGCTATTTATCATATAAACAGCTTTACTGAATGTGCAAAACGCACCGCAGGATAGTGGGAGGAAAACCAATATTCCACGCCTTTAATCATCTTTCAGTATACTTATAGTTTTAAATTGTAAATTTATAAATAAATAAATAAATATATCGTCAACGTAGCAAACCTGCAGACTAAGTGAATTTCCACTAGCCCGACTATAATTTAATTAGAATATCTTCTAAGAAAAGTCTGATTTATTCCCTATTTAAATAACATTAGTTTAATGTGTGATCAAGTTTGCTGCTACGGTGAAGGGTAAACGTGTTTTTTTTATTATTATAAAATTTGTATAGTATAGGATGGAAATAATAAATGTACTGAATTATATCCAAATACGGTACTATAATCAGAGTAGCTAATGCTCGCATGTTACTTTCAAAAACGGCTCAAACTATTTCCTCTAAATTGTTAGAACTATTTTAGTTTTAGGATACAACTGCCAGGTCTAAATAACATACATTTTAATTATTACTTAGGTTTGCCGCTACAAGGGAGGTGATGAAGTATGTGTTTATTGAAATGTTAAAAGCTTCGTATGAAATAAACAAATTTGTCTAATTTGGTCAAAATATATCCCTAAACAGGCAAAGCTACAGCAGATAAAATATTTTCCTTTAGAATAACATGGAAATATGTTAAAGTACATCCGAACATAAAATATTTATAGAAAAATATGCGACAGAAAAAATCTTTTTAGTAATATAAAAGAATTTTAATCCACATTAGCTAAATCTCCTTTACAGCATAAAAAATCACTACGCAAATTATTGAACACACAATAAATGCCTTATATGTGCAAAATGCGTTGAATAACAACTTATATAGTTTTAGTTCAGTAAATGTTCAAGTTAGCTTGTAATATTGAAATATTTCGCTGGGAAAATATCGGGATCCGATAAAAACATAAATACTCAGCCTAGCTTGGAGCAATTTAATTTTAAATAAACGTTCAATCTTATATCTCGTCGGAAACGTTTCGGGTTTATTTTTGAAAGAATATTTCTTATATTTATTAGGGGATTGATAGCGAAATCAAAAGACTTGTAAACAAAAAATTGTGTAGTATATTTTAGGCTTTTGATTTTAATCGATTTTCTACAATGGTTCTATAAAAAAAATTACACATTATAATCGTAGTTCCTTAGTTTTAGCTGATAAATTAATAGCTTTATTTCTAACTAACCTGAAAGAAAAATATTTCATATTTATGTTTTTGGCGTAAAATATTTATTTAACTAATCCCGAAACTGAAATAAAAGCTAACATTGATTTTCCAATTACGGAGTAATCATTTAACAAGTTTTTTTTTACCATTTTGACCAATCAGATTAAATTGATTTAATAACTAATTTATATTTCATGTTCAATGGTAGTTTATGTTAAAATCTTGGAGGAAGCTGCTCAGGCGGATTCAATATAACCCTTGGATGGAGTGTTTGATAATGGCATTCCGCCAAAACATGGAGTAACCCTCATTGTTAATTACGGACATTCTGATGAGACATTTCTAAATTCATGGTAGTGAAATGTGACGTCACACAAAATAGCTGTGTTACCCACGGGCTTCACCCTATTTGACATCATAAGTATTAATAAAACTATTGATTGGTTAAGAAATTGAAATAAACAAAATAGAATGCAGTAGTACAAACAAATAATCACACCTGATTTTAATAAGGTAATAAATTAAAAGAATAACAAAAAATAAGTGCAGCTGAGGTATTTTTAACATTAGGTATATGGAAAGTTCCCTTTAGAAAGGAATTACGACCTTAAAGGGCAATTTATGAAATAATAGATAGTTTTGCGCAAGGTTTCTCGTCATGACGAACATTTTGAGTATATGGTTTTTGGGCGTGTGACTTGTAGTTTTCTCAAAAGTTCATGGGTACTTTGGGGTTTATATATATGGATGAATTGAATTGAGAGGAAAGAATACGAAATGTGAGAATACGTATTTATAATACGTGATTACACGTTATATTCGCGTAAAATAGTTTCCCCATTGGACAGCATTGGTTAACAAATTTATAAAAGTTTACAAAAAACGTTTATCCGGAATGTCGAAAGCAACGAGATGAATGTAAACACTGAGTTTGAAGCTTGAAGCTTTTAAAGAAAGAATGCGAAATCTTCAATACAAAGGATGCAATCCTGCAAAAGCTCTTACCACGAGCGTTGTTACGTGTTTCAGGATATTAAAAGGAATTTCCTAAACTTTATTTTGTTAAGGTAAAATGTTTTCTTTGTACCTATATTAAAATATAGGTATATTAAAATATTGATATTTGCGAGCTAAGCTAAATATAGTTTGATTAGGACTATGTTCTTTTGCCGAATATAATGGCATGAAGTTCTACTGTAAAAAAATAAAACTTTGAACAATTAAAAAAATAATTAGTTAATATATAGTAAAATATAATTAAAAGATAAGATTGAACGCAATTAGAGAATGAAACCCCTGCCTTACATTTGCTATTCAAATCTGCAGCAAATTCTCCAGGGTAAATTATAAAACAGTTGTATCGAATTTGTACCTCTGATCAATATTCTATGTGTTTTGTAAAACATTGTAATATTTTATACTTTACAATACAATAGACTACTCTGTATTACTGTACAGTTTCTCTGATAGCAAAAAATAACTATTTAAGTTTTAATATCTGTAAGAACAAGTATATTATTTGAAATTCTTAAAAAATACACAGCCAGCTAAAAAAAGTAAAAAATAATGTAATCCATCTAACCTGAATAATAAAACACTATCCTATAACTCAAACAAAAAATCCCAAATATCAACATCATACTCGAATTCGACCATGCATTACTTGCATACAACAATCGCCTCTGACAATGAAGCTAGTAGCGGAGTGTGAACTGATAACGCTGGGAGACTGATAACAGTTATAAAACGTCAGTAGCAGACGATAAGATTGCCGCGCACGCGGGAAGCTGAACCAGCTGTTTCCCAGCTAGTCTGGCCCGGTCTCTACAGTAGTGCGGACGTGAGTGTACGTGTCCTTCGACAACTCGTGTTTTGTGTTTTGTGATTCGGTTTGATAAACACCTGTTGGCTTCGGTTTTGGTAATTATTGGCGTTGCTGTTCCTAATATCATGGTTTTGGTTAATTACTATAAAAGTATAAATTTCATTAGACGTTGATTGGTATAAACATTTATTTTTACCTCGGTTTTCTAACATAAACGTTTATTAGAGCATATACATTTTTATATTAGCGATGGTTCCACTGATTTAATATTTGGTAAACATTTAAAACGCCCAACTCATCTCAAACACTCATCTCAAATAGGTGCATTATTGTTTATCCGTTCAAAAATACACCTCTTGACGTTTTTTGTATTTACTACAGTATACTAGAAAGCACACTCCTGTTCTGTTACTGTTACTTTTAGCAATTCTGTTCCTAAATCGGTTTTTGACGAGTTGTAATAGTACAGTGTGCATTTTTATACATTATTTTGTTTTATCAGTTTTCTAAAAACATTCTAATTAGTCTTTTGGGTGATTATTGTCGTTAATTTTTTTATTACATATAACCATAATTGCTCATAGCATTAAAATGTTGATTGTTCAACATAACTTTGTTCCATTGGTTCAATAAAAACACTATTAATAAGTTTTTGTTGAGATGACAGTTTACGATACTAATTAGGCTACACATTTTCAATGATTCAGTATTGTTCATAATCCTACAATTATACTTATAAATCTTAATTGTTTGCTCAGTAAAATGTAAAGACAAATTGTTATGATTCATGTTGGGTATTACGCACATCACTGTTGATTTTTCATTTTCCCAATGATTCATTTATACAGATAATTTATGTCCATTCATTTAATCATTGGAAAAGTTTACCAATCATAATTTTCTGTCAACTAAAAAACACTTGTGAAAAGCTTATTGTTTACATTACGAGGCATTTTTTGTGGATAAATCTGTTTATTGGGAGCATTTCTATTTCTTTTCTACAAGTCATTCTATATAAAAGTCATTTAACTAAAACAAGATGAGTACATACGGTCTCAAATTGGTTTGTTTATATTTTCATAGTTTAAAATACTATTTATGATTCAACAATTAATTATTTTATCAAATTGGCTATCAAAAATCAATGACAAAATGGCATCTAGATAATAAAACAGCTAGGTTTGGGATCGAACTAGCAGATTCGAGAGCGAACATAATTCGCCTACTCAGACAATTAATTTTAGTACAAAATAAAAACGAACACAACATCACAGCACATTACGCACAATGCCACATTATAAAATCTGTTAGCTGATTCCTCCTGACCTAGTAATACAGACATTGTTGTCATGTAGCTTTACACAGGCAAATGACGTGCTTGTTGTGGTGAACAATACACATTATTCACTTTGAATACCCGAAACACAGTCCTATTCCCTGTCACGCTTTCGTCTTCGCTTTGAATTTATATGTCACTCTTTTATTGTAATTTATTTTGTAAACCGTTGGGAAATTAATCAAATTAAAATTTAATTAGCCAATTAAGTAAATTTGATCCCGTTTTTTATTTCAAACAAACTATGTACAGTATACACAGTTGGTAGTCTCTACACAATGAAAATATTGCAATTATTGCATATATTGTTAATTTATTTGCACTATTGTTACACATATTTGGGTGGATAGCTTTTTATATAGCTTTATATAGGTTTTTCGCCTCATTCAAACCTTATGGACCCTCCATTTAACTAAATCAATTACATTAGAACCAGTTGATTAAATGACGTGATGACTCCTTACTAAAATAAATTTCAAAAACAATAATTTAAATTTTTTTCCTACAATCAGTTATATTAATTTATGTCATTGCAATGAGAATTTAAATAATACTAATCTGAAATTTCCAAAGAATGATTAAGTGTTGTACCGTCATTGTAGGACTTGATCTAAAAGTGCCAATGATAAAAATATACAAATACTTCTAAAACTTCATAAAAGTAAACCCTGTATAAAAAAGCTCGTCAAGCTATCAATAAAAGAAAGTAAAAACTTCAAAACGCATGAAAAACGTAGGAAAATATACAACAATATACAATATACAATATAAGACCGAATATGTAAGACTCTTCTCATAATACTACTGTACAACAAAGAAAACTAACTGAGTAGTAGCAAACTGTTCTAATAAGTATAAATATCATCATTTATATTTATATGTAATTAATTTATATTGTTGTTTTTATTCAAATATTTTTATGATTTTTGTTGATTGAGTTATTTAAATTAACTCCCGTATTTTACAATACACAAAACAAGCTACTTCAAAGCTCATTAGAGTATATTGAACTCTGATAGTGACATAATTTGAAGAAAAGAAAAGTATGTATAAGTGAAATCAATAATTAGTTTCAATTTAAATAGATGGATCAAATTAACGCAAAACGTCACACCTGACATGACATTATCACAATTGGAAAGACGTGACAATTTCAACATTGAAAACTAAGATTTACACTCCAACTCAGGCCTATGTCGTGTAGGATGTTTTAGCGCCTGTCCCAAAATACATCTGACAAACCAACAGACACATGAGTCTATTCTCCAGTTCTAGGACTACAGTGAGTTCTACGTTCAGTTAACATCACCACGTGCCATTTAAAACTACCCTAGAGTAGTAGAAATAATATATACTAGAGGCATGTTGGGACATAAGTCCTAAAAAAGGCTCAAAATGTGTAACAACTTATTGTAATTTTTAAACAAACTAAGAATCAAATTCTTTTTGTCAAGATGGATATCCCTGTACACCTAAAATAGTACATCTAAAAACTTCTCTCTGTTAACTTTGGTTGTTGTTTTACATGCTAAATTAAATTCAATGTTTGTCATATGTTTACCCTTTTTGCGTTGCTAAACAACCATGCGACGAAACTTTAGGGAAATAAATATACTATACAAAATTAACAGTTTTATTAGCCAAATTACGTAATACTTTATGGTTTTAGGGTTCCATTTCCCAGTTGTCGAAGCCAATAAAAAAAATCCTTTCCATCAGAATTGACAATTGACAGGAAACTTGTGATTTGGTTTTTGGTTTTCAAACGTTTCAATTTAGACAACGTTATCCGTGGTTTTAATATATTAGGCTATGAACGTTTGGCATGGTAACAATACAGAGTTAACTGGCTAAGAAATAAACAAACTGCGTGTATCGAATACTGGATTGGAAATATAGAGCGACCAACTATTATTAAAGTAAACAAAAATCAGCTGTGAATGGTTTCCAAACGCTATTCTCATGAAGAACATTGGAACATGAATGTCATAGAAATCCGCTGATACAAAGTTTACAGTTTTTACATTATTTAAGATTACACTATTGCAAAGAACCAAACGCATTTTAAATGTAACAGACGAAGTTTTCTACACTAATAACAATACAAACAGCTGATTCATTGTTGTTACTCCGAGACAGGTATACAAAGATACGTGTTTTACTGTTCTTGAATGTGAGTGAGAACAGAAGAATATATGTGATATGCTTTATGTGAGCTTTGCCACTGACTAGATCAGCTGTTTATTATAAGAACTATATGAAATGTCCAACTATAGATAACAGTGTAGTTTCATTAAGTCAATCAAATTATGATTCAGGTAAAGTTTTATTTATAATTTTACGTGTTAAAGTATAACCACTTATCAGATTAAACAGACTGTACTCGCCGCAAACTACGGCAAGCTCATCTAATTTTGATTTCAAAGCTGGTTCCAAATTGAGGTCATCAAACAAAACCTTTCAACTGCCTTGACACACAAAAATGTAGTATGAATAAATATTAGCATTCAATTCTCATTAGATGTTCGTTTCGTAAAATAAAAAAGGGACCAAAATCCCAGGACTACAAAATCCTTTCTTGTGCAGCAATTTTAAAATGAAGATATACTTCTTAGGTGCATTTAATAACCTCTCCATTTTAACGTAAATAAAAACGGAAGACTAAATTCAAGAAACTGAAATAAATGTATATTCAAGTCGAGTTATCTATAGATTATGTTATATGTAGATTGTTATATAGGATTGTCGTTTGGTTATATATAGATGTTGTTGTTTTTTTAGCGAATTTCCCTATAGGGAAGTAGCTATTACCGTAGGTCTCATGGTAATACTTAGGCCCGGGACCGATTTACTTTTTCATTTTGATGTCCCCAGAGGCCAAAAACACCATTCGTTAAAATTTTTATATATGTATATATATATATATATATATATATATATATATATATGTGTCCGTGAACACGATAACTTGAGTAATTTTTATCCGATTTTGATGAAATTTGGTTTAAAGGTGTAAGGTGGGATAAACTTGAATGAGTTCGCGATCCAGCATGATCGGACCATGGGAACAGGGTTTTATGGGGGGTTTTATGGGGTAAAAATTGGTTTTTCTCACTTTTGACCCTCAAAACACAAAATTTCCCAATTTTCCTCTAAACCTTCTTAAAGAGCTTAAAAAAACAAACAATTCAGTATATCAAAGTGTTTTTGTACGGTTATTGGTTACGGAGAAAACTAAAAAATTGGTCAATTTAAAATTCCCATGTTATTCTTATGGAGAATATTATAAAATGTTGTAGTTTGCTTGTTTATGGATATCTTTTGATCAAACTTGGCAAATACATTCATTTTATACTAAGCAATAATTATTTTACTTAAAACACACACTTTATTAGTTTCCTTGTAGCAGCAAACCTAGGTACTCGTTAAACCTAATGTTATTTAAATAGATCAATTGAAAATTAATTCAGCCAAATGGAAATTCGCTAAGACAGCAGGTTTGCTGCGGCGGGGGTATTTTTTATTATAAGAAGCCTTATTTTTTTTATATGAGACTTAAGTTGAAAATAAATAAATCGATCGCAATGTAACCTAACCTGACCTAATTTGAATTTAAATAAGTCCGTCATGTAAATAAGTCAGAAGTTGACCTTAATTAGATTTTGTATTTGCACATAAGATAAAAAATTATCACGATTAACTTATATGCAAATGCTCGGAAAATAAAGGTAGTAAGGTGTATTTTCAAAAAGTTAATTG